GTTGATGGCAAATAGTCCTCCTCGAGTACCCATTCCATTTCGGAATCCGAATTGCGTCTCGCTAATATCCTCCTCTAACCTTTCGTTTATTCTCTTATGTATTACTTTCAGCAATACTTTTAAAGTACGACTCATGAGGCTCAGTGTTCGATAATCAAAGCACTCTTTTGCTGCTTGCTTTTTAGGGATGGTTATAAATGCTGACTTCAGCCACTCTTGTGGTATTATTCCCGTATCGTACACCATGTTGGATAAATCTGCCAATACTTCCAAGTTATCCTCTTCCACTAGTTTTAACAGTTCTAATAGTATTTCATCTAATCCAGCTACCTTATTGTCGTCAGAGTTTTTGATAGTAGGTATATTTGATTTCATCTATCGTGATAATTTGACTATGATTAAGTTTAATTCTTGTATTTCCTGCATTTCCCCTCTTTCATCTTGGAAAAGTTCTCTAACGTACTCCTCCCATCGTCTTAATTTCTCTGGTAAATCTATTAGTAGTACTACTTTTTGGTCTTTAATGTGTCCTTGCTGTCTATTTCGACCCATTTTAGTCACTTCTCTTATTTTTTGTGCATATTTCTCATATCATATTTTATTTCTAGTTCTTCTATCTTTTTACATTGTTTCATCAAATGGATTTCCTTAGCTGTTTTGATTTTTTTTCCTTAATTAGTCGTTGTATTTCTTTATACTTCTGTAGATGTTTTCCTTTATATTTCCTTCTTTCTTCCATCTGTAATAGTATTTCTTCTGTCATCCACTGTTTTTTAGCCTCTGACCTATATTGTATCAAACTTTCTTGAGCTGCTTTCAGTAATGCGTTTTTTATATTATACAACTTTTTATTTACATCCATAATTTGTTTGTTGTCAGTTAGTGTTTTTTGCATATTAACATTCACATTATTTTAATAATTCGTGTCTTATTTCTTCGTTTTTTAGTATTCTTACATTAATTTTTTGTTGTTGTTTCCTGAGTTCAATTCTTTTTAATTTTATTTTCACGTCAGCAACTAACGGATTGTGGTCTGAGTTAACATCTGCCCCAGGATAAGTTTTAACTGAGGTTGTAGAGTTTTTATATATTCTATTTACGAGTATAAAGTATATCTAGTTTCTGAGAATGTGATTTTCTGTATGTGAAGGAGACGTCCATGTATATAGTCTTCTCTTAGGAAGATCCAGGTTCTACAAAAGTCTAAAGGAAAACCACTTTTTTAAAACATGATCATCCCCCGTTTTAATTGAGATAAACACATTTAAATCACCCTATAAAAACCTCAATAAAATAAAACCAGTTCCTATGTGCGTAATAACAAGATGTCTTTCTTTATCCGAAGGGCCTTTTAAGCTGGTTGAAAGGGACTGATTAAGCCTGCGGTGAACTTGAAATAAGTCTTGCCATACCTTTTATTTTTTGTGATCATCATTCAATCACGTTTCGTCCATAATTTTTGACAAGACGTCTGAAAGTACGATTTTTTTGTAAATACTCTGCCTTAACAGTATTTCGTCTTTCTCGATTGAAAAACTCTAGCGACATCCCTTTACATACCGAAAATTAATTTCATGTAGCATTCTTCGTAATACCTTAATGACAGTTTATTAAAAGTTTAGCTTTAAAAGTGTCATTTTGTTCTTAAAATAAAATCCGTTCACTTTTCTGTCGATTATATTTTTTGTTATTTTCCAACACGATTTTCTTTTGTACGTCCTTTTTGAATCTGTTTTTTCTTACCTTAAATTATTCGGTAACATACTTTCGTCAAATTAATCACCACACAAGCGACATCATCTTGAAAAATATCTGGATTTCTTCTACGTAATTCCTCATGTACCGACTCTCACAGATTTGTTTTCCTCACACAGACTTTTTTTCTTCTCACATATCACCACCACCTTCTACTGTTTTTGTCAATAGATGTACAATAGATGTAAAGATAATGCTCTCGATGTCCTTTCTGGGGCAGTCAGGTACGTCTTAACGGGTAAAATATCGATATTTCAACTACACGCGTAAATATTAAATTTTGCAACACGATCATGTCCATAACAGAAATTTTGGAGACAAAAATGTTAATTGGGAGGCTAATTTGTGTGTGATAAATTAGCCGCTCTCCTCTAAATGTTTACAAATTAGAAATTTGAATTAGTATCATTGCTATTGAATTATGAGTTGAGAGTTAGATTATTTAGACCAAATTATGGCCATTGAACCAAATATGATTTAAAAAATGTTGCCGTGGAAAAACATACAGTGTGTTAAGTTCATTTTTTTCTATTTTGACTAATAAATTCACTGTGTTTAAATTATCAAAATCAGCGAAGGAGTCATAACTCTAGACAATTATTTTAACGTTTCAAACGACGTGGAAATCGCAACGATAAATTATTTTAAACTCAAATTTTAGTTAATTTCCGTTAAAGATAGTAAATAATATTAATATACCACAAGAAAATAGCTTCATAATAATATTCACTAAATCCATTAGCAAAAACGAAAAAAAAAGTTTAACACGCTTTGACTTCTTCCACAGCAACATTTTATTCAGACGATTTTTTTCCAAATTTCCTAATTCTAGTCAATAGCTAGACTAACGATAACGAAATTTAAAATTCAGCGCAAATTTACAGAATATGTTTTTCATTCTAAGATTTAATTTATTATTGATCCAAGAGCGAAGATTTGTATTTGTTTACTCTAAATATTTGATTTTAGTTACAATTGAAACCAGCTGGTTTTGATTTTTTAAGTCCAGTGTGGTTGTTTAAGTTTTTTTTATCCGCCATATTATTGTCTGATGGGTCAGTATCATAAAAATAATGAATTACTATTATATAAATAATAAACTAATACAAATAGTTAATATGTAATTTTTAACCAATATAAAAATATATTAAAGGAGACACAAACTAAAGTCATATTAGGAGAAATCGGGGTACAGGTGGAAGCGGTAACACAGTAGGTACAGGAAGCAGCAAGTCAAAAACTGAATTTCAAAGTATGTTTAAAAAACTGTAGGGTGCACCAAAGAAATTGAGTTCTTGATTCAAAACAAAATGTTTACAACTAAATTCGCAGGAAACGGCCTTTTATGTCCGTGGCATACGGTAAAATATTTGGTGAAGTTAGTTTGAGCAAATAAAAAAATTGACACCATATGACGTCTTATCCTGAAATTGATCAAATACTCTAAAAATAGAGGATCTTCTATTTTTCAAGGACAGTTTGAGCAAACTCTAATTTTGAATGGTCGAAAAATATCCAAAGACAAATAACAGTCAGCAGTTAGGCATGACGTTGGCGTGATGACATTAATTTTTTTTTCTTTAGTTAACATTGTGTAGTTTGTGTTGTCTTTCTATTTTGTTATAAAATTTTAAAATGTCTTTGAGCCAGGAATAAGTTTCTACATTAATTGATTTATATCGAGCAAGGGGCTGTTTATTAAATGTGAAGCATCCACATTATTATAAAAAATTCTTGTTAAGCTTTTTATTTTCATTGTGGATAAGAACAATTTGAATCGTAAATAAAGCCCAAACAACTATAATCGTAACTCAGTAAAAGAGACAATTAATTTCGTTGATTTAGATACGTCATTGGAAAACCGTCAATAAAAGTTTAATCAAATTTGAATGATCTTGTGAAAGGTAGATTTTTAAATTTTGAACAAACTGTAATTATGGCGTCATTACGTCAGTTTGACATCAGAATACTGGAGGAGGAAGGAAGATTCGCGGAAGCGTTAAAAACGATGACGGAACATGGAGTCGGAAAACGAACAACGAAGTAACCGAAATGTGTAATCAACCAAGTTTAGTCAAGAAAATACGAATGCGAAGAGCAAGTTGCTTGGAGCATGTTCACAGTATGCCTGGGCATAGGTGTAAAGAAAATACAAATGTCGAACATGTTATACATGTCAAAAAGGACGTTCTATTATTAGGGATACCGGATGGGAAAACAAATCAAAGAACAGAAAAAATGGAAAGAAATATTAAAAAAATCGACACACTTAACACAGCACCTTAAATGTACCATAACATTGAAGCTATTTTTCTTCTGGACCGTTGATTGGATTTCGGGTGATTTTTATTTCACATTATAGGTCTATTTCTAAGGAAATACTATACCAATGTTTTCAAAGAAATGTGAACGTTTTACCCATATACGGGGTGTAAAAATAAAGTTCTGTTTTACATCTTATTTTGCAACGTACTGTGTGAATTTACAAGAAACAAACGAAACATCTTATTCATATTGCGAGATTGGTTTATATGCGAGATTGGCGAGCTAAGATTAATACTATTACAAAAATTAATATTAAACTCACCAGTCTTCCGGGTTGAACCGCGTCGATATCCATTGGGCCGAGCTTTCGACATCCTCTCTGATGTCTTCCTCAGGGCTTCCAAGGTCTCAGTCTCCCGAGCCCCCAGACACTACTACACTTATCACTTACACTTGTCACTGTTCACTTCACTGTCACTACTGAAGTTTAGTAGTGTCTGGGGACTCAGGAGACTGAGACCTCGGAAGCCCTGCGAAAGACATCAGAGAGGATGTCGAGAGCTCGACCCAATGAATATCGACGCGGTTCAATCCAGAAGACTGGTGAGTTTAATATTAATTTTTGTAATAGTATTAATCTTAGTTCTAGGTTTCATTGTACTAACTGCGGAAATCTTTCCGAACATTCCGTTTTATATTTTTTCCAAACGAGTAACAAGTACTTCTTTTTTCTTACTATTATATATATATATATATATATATATATATATAATATATATAATATATATTACAAAAAAAATTAAATGTTACAAAACGATGTTAGTAATGCCTTTGTTCTGAAAATACATCAACAGTTTAACCATGAAAATTGCCACCATTTGCTCTCTTTACGTGGTGTCTTTACGTTTAAAAAGTTTATTTATTTTATTTATAAAATTTTTACGCTAAAAAGATTGTTATATTATATTTTTTGTTTATAGGGTAGTATGAGTTCTTCAAGTTATAATACACAACCCGTATCAGTACCTGTAAACATAAACTACAGTGACTCTGGTCTTCTCCAATCTAGTCCACAGATGGCTCATACTAGTATTAGCCCTCGTCCGTCTTCATCCGAAACCGATTCCGTGTACCCAAGTGGAGGAATGTTAGAAATGAGCAATGGTTATCCGAATTCTGCCTCCCCAATGGAGGGATCTCCATCACCTGGGCCCTCTCCCGGTCCAGGTCTTAGCACGTCCAAACAACATCCAAAACAGCATTCGCCAGGACCAAGATCTAATCTTCGAGTAGTTATACCTACACCTTTGGGACCAAGTATTACCACAGATGAAGTTTCTTATGCAGAAGTAAGTGTTAATTTTTGTTAATGGTTGTAACGGGTCAAATTTACGATGTCTATCTAATAAATGTGTGAATTTATTTTAGAACCCTGGTCTATCTAGTTATCCGAGCGCCTTGACATCTTTTGGAGCTCAAGATTTTAGTATGGGTTCAGATATTAGTCTAGCATCAATGTCTTGGAGTCATCAGATACCCACGTCTCTCACCCATAATACTTCATGCCTTCCTCACCTTGCAGTTTCTAGTAGTACTCCTCCGCCTACTTCGTCATCCCCGCTTCCTGTGAAGATTAAGAGTGAACCTATATCACCTCCCAGAGAGCATCACCCGCATCTGACTACAGCCGTCCACCATTCACATGTTCAAACGTTAAATCTGACCCACAGGTAAGAAATTTTACATATATTAATTTTACCGTCAGTAATAGACAATGAAGGACAAATAAATTTAATATTTAGCTACAAAGAACAGATGAATTAAAGAAATAGTTTATTTAATTTTTGAGTCGTGATTCATTCAGAAGCTCATAGGTCACCAAATTATGGCAAACATTCTCTTGTTTAACCATTATGTCTTTTGTAGTAATCCTGAACGCTTTGAAAAACTAGCATACTGTTGGTTCATCTTCGTTTTAGTCATGATTCATTCAGAAGCCCCTATATCACCAAATTATGTCAAACAATCTTTTATTTAACCATTATGTCTTCTATAGTAGTACCGAGTGCTTTGAAAAACTGGTTTACTGCTGGTTTATCTACGTTTTAGTCATGATTCCTTCAGAAGCCCCTATATCACCCAATTATGTCAAACAATCTTTTATTAAATCATTATGTCTTCTGTAGTACTCTTTCAGCCCTATATCACCAAAGTATGTCAGTCTTTTATTTCACTATTATGTCTTCTGTAGCAGTAGTAGTAGTAAGGGCTTTAAAAAAACTGTTATATTGAGATTAATCTTGTGGAGTACCAACAAAAAGTAAGAAAGAACATTTGTTCAGCTGCTGCTTCTAGCTAGGTTAAAATTTCCGTGATTCTCGCCCCGCGTCTTGTTATAATGTCCATGTCGTCAGCATGTGCTAGAATTTGGACTGATTAAATATAGTTATTAGGCCTCAGTTCCATTCCTCAGGCATTTGCTCCTCAGGCTAAATTTTACAAAATATTTTTTGTATCACCTTGCTGGTCTGTTCTCCACCGTGTTTAAATAACTCTGCTGGGATGCCATCGCTGCCTGGGGATTTGCGGTTTTTTTTTTTAGTTTTTTTTTATAAATACTTTTTGTTCTTTTACCGAGGGAGTTCCACAAATTCCTCTTTTCTGTCTGACAACCCGAAACGCTATTATGCTTAAAGCTACATTGGGGGTAATAGTCTCCGCACATGCGTCAGTTTAAAAATTTATAACGTCTGGTAGGTTTATGTTCAGCATCCTTCTTAATCAAACAAATAATATTGTAACGGGAAATTAAACCACGGTTCCATTTACATGCCATTTTAAGCAAGTAGCCAGTAAGAGCCGGTAAGAACAGAGTTTTCTGGACTCCATTACACAACCAATTTTTGCAGAATATGTTCATATTGAATGTCTGGTCTTGTCTATTAATGTGTAGTAAACTTTGACGTAACATAATTTTGTCTTATATGTGATTTTGACAATATATTTTTTGTAGTCATCACCCTCGACCTAGTTCGGCTGGACATATAACACCTACACCTAGAAGTGTGACTCCCACCAATCTACCCTCCCCTACAGGGACTACGAGCAGTGGTACAGACTACAGCGATTCAGTGCAGATGCATAAACGGCCCAGACTTACAGACTGGCCGTCGTAGAGCCAGTTGCTTTTATCACATATTCTCAACTTCGTAGGACACTAAGTGCCATAGTGATACACTATTGTGGATAATTTGACCATAGTGTTACTGTTTCAATTGCCAATTATCATCATTCATGTGATAAACTACGAGTCTTGTAGAGCAATTTTCATTAATAATATTGCTGAACTGAGAAAACTTTATAGTGAAAAGAATTTTTGTAGAGAGAATATAAGGTTTTTACAAGGATTAAGAGTGTGTGTGTGTGTGGTGAATTTTAAACATCTGTAAAGTACATACTCTACTCTCGAGTCAACACAACACATGTACCACTATATAAGTAGGTACGATTTTTTTATTAATTATTCTTCAATTTTTTTTAGTCATTTTCTGAGTCATTAAATCACTAGACTTGGAAATCAAATCTCATACTTGCGACCTTTTATAATCCGCTCATTGTATCATATTTATTAAGAATTCTTTCTCTTATAAAACTTATCACAAAATGATTGCTTTGTAGATATGTAACTTATACAATATGCCCATGCCTTACTCAAAAGAAGCCTAGTGGGAAAAACACCAACAATATCCTGTATTCTTACAGAAACGCGTAAATCACACGTCTATATTAGTAGCGAAAGGGTAGTCTTTGCTGACAAGTTAGAAATACAAACGTAACGTGTTTTTTGAAATAGCAGCAATAAATAAACGATCACGTGTACTAGTTAAAATATTTATTCCATGCTTTTGGGTGTGTACACACTCCTCATCAGCGACAAACGACATAAATAATAAATTACAGTTAATACTAAAACAATATATATCATAAGTCGTTGTAAGTGTAACATTAGCTAAAAATATATGCATACAGAACTGTTTATTGATAATATTTTTTTAAAATATAAAATTGGATTTAAGTTTGTCCAAAAAGGCAGACACTTAGTATGTCACTCATTTGTCAGTGTCAGTCGTGACAGGAAAGAGAATGCCGATGTGAATGTATGTTCCAAGGTTAATGAGACCTTACCCTCATACAGCTTCGTCCAACACATTCATCTCGTCAAGGTCTTTCTGAATTGGAGTTTCAAAAGGTTTGTTATTATTGACTAATGAGCTCACAATAATCCTTTTCCAACTCACAGTTCATACTCAGAAAGATGACCGCAAGGTGTCAGACATTTCTAAAAATAAGAAAAGACACGAATGTTACTGTTAGGGATGTTTCAAAACTTCATGAACCTTGGAAATACGCATGTCCGAAAAAAAAAATAATTCTAAAAACATGAACTATTTTAATTTCATACTGAATTCAATATAAAATCTAGTTTGACTCTTGTCTTGCTATAAAAACGCACTGCAGACGATTAAATGTTTTTAGTAATGCTGGATTTCATAGTTTCGTTCGTAGAATGACTTCACCAAAGAAGTGTGTCCGGTACATGACATTTCTTTAGACCAATACTAATATTACTATAATAAGACACCCACAACGACTTTACCTCACAAAGTGTAAGTACTCTTAACTTACATATTGTTTTAAAATTAATATGTTAAATGCGTTAAAATTATTGTTTAAATGATGATACACACTTGAAAGCTTGAAATATAGTTTTTAATGTTACATAAAATACATCAATAAAAACCTTTATAAATAACATATTTCATTTAAAATATCATATAAAATTAAAATGAATGAAGAAATGAAATTAAATGAAAGAAAAATGACAATCAATGCTGTCCTCAATTCTGGGAAATTAAATTAGTGAAAACACAAATTAATTTTGCTTTGTAGCTATTATTGAAAAGTGTGTTGTCGATCATCGGTCATTTTCCTACTAGACTCCTTCCACAGGTGTGTAAGCACATCCTATGTATTAACGATTATCTAAACTCCTATTATTTTAAATTTTTAAAATATAAAATATATAATTAGAATTAATCACAATTTTAATTGAACATACGTTTATTTTAATGTTTCTATTTCCACTTCAAATATAACTTATTTTCAATTAAAAATGTGTTAAATTCGCGTTAAATCCCGTAGATACCATAGAAATGTTAGAAGAAATTAGTATCAGAACAATATTAAAAAGTATAGTTGAAAATATAACGCTGGCGTCAGTTTTCATACTAAGACAGTGTAAGTAAGAACGCTTTATAACTATTTAGGTATCAATTTTTTTGCTGATGTAGTAACATCACTATTTTATCCATACCTAACATCCAACTAAAGCTCTTTCAGTTTTAAAATGTCTTTATTTTTCACTAATTTATTAGCCAGTTTTTTCCGTTATTAGAGTTGTATTTGCTGTATAGATTTAATTTATCAGTTTATGAAGTCGTGATATATCTGAAAAGTTACAAAATTTATATATGTTAAAATAAAAATAAATTTAGTTGAATTAAACTGTTTAGTTTAAATGTCTAAATTTTAAAAACAAATGTACATACCACAAAAATTTCAATTAAATTTAAATTTGACGAAAATAAAGGGAAAGAATTCTTCTGTTTGTTGATTCCTAATCATATTTTATTAACAGAACTCGTTTTGATTGTTAGTATTTTATAATTGTATGTAAAACACATACACAATTGGAATATGTATATTATATAAATATATTTTCACCATTTTAACCATACTCTTTATAAGCAAGGCTACCTCTAGTGTTTAAAATGCAGCTTTGATAATTAATGTAGGGTGCAGTAATTACTGATGAGAGTATCTTGCATATATGCTATATTATATTTAAGGCAAGTGAAAGTGCCTTGTGATTTGATGAACAGCCTTTTTTGGGTACTATATTCACTTTAAAACAATGACACCTTCCAAGATAGATGTATAGTACATGGCTGTTGCCTTAAAGATTGAGAAAAAGTAAAGTAAGTCTAACTGTCAAGAATGCATTTACCGCCAATTGTCAAAGACAACATTTTGGAGATTATCTTTATAATTTAATTTGGGTATTATATTTTTCTAAATTTTATGGTTTTATGAAGCACATGATTTCCTAATTATCTGCTTTATTGTAAATTTTGGGCACATGCATCCATTATTTTCCAAGTTAATATATGTTTTCAATATTTTGTTATGTCTAGGAAAATTATAGTTTTTATTCTGCTGACGTTTATAGTAGAAGTAATAAATAATAACAATCAAAATTTACAACTTTACGAGTTATTTTTCTACCGAAATTGTTATAAAGTGATCAAGATAGTAAAATAGTATTTTTATAGAATATAGGCCATAAATTTGTCAATTTAATATACTACTCAAAAATAAAAAGAAAATGTCTTATTAATGGCCCATTTGACTTACAATTATTATTGTATATATGTTGTTTATTCACTGCAAACCGTATGTACTATACTTGTTTTACGCAAAAAATTTCTTTTAAATGTTTAAAGTGATTTTAATACAATGTTGTTTTTACCACTACTTGGTAGCCTTGCAAAAATTAAAGCCAATGTTTCTCAATCTGAAGGAAACATATATCTATATATAGTGCCATTATTTTCATGTAATTATTAGTGTCTTTTTTATAAATGTTTCTAGAAAATATCATATTTAAAATGTACACTTGTTATATTAGTGAGGATGCAGCCACTAACAACTACAGAGTCAGTTAAAACATCCTTAAAATTAAATAGATAGATACATTTTAAAGAATGCAACTGAAAATGATTATAGTTGAAAACACGCCACTCCTTCCACATTTGCCTTAATATATTGTAATGTAGCTAATCATATTGTCACAGAAAAACTCAGGTAGGTCAGCATATACTCCTTTAAGAAAAAAGGGACAACTCCAATCACTTTATTGCTAATATGTATCACGTTGACTTCTATTTCTGACAGGGAATTGAAATTGTGGATGGTAAAATTATTTATATTTATTAGTGAGTGTATCTCCTATATATTTTATTACTTAGAGAAAATTCCGTATAGACCTATTTACACCTTGATCTTTCTTCTGTCTGTAGTATTCAGTTTTTTTTTCAAAATTAATACCAGTATTTATATTATAAAGAACTATAGAAAACTTGAATCTTAACTAACAGATATATTCATTTCTGTGATATAACCATGCCTCGGTTTCCGCAAAACGCTCATCTATCTACTATATTTAATGGGGATTTGCCACAATTTTAATTGAAAATACGTTTATTTTGATGTTTGAACATTTCTTTGTTGAAAGTGCAGTGTATGTGCTCCATTTTCTCCTTATGTGGGCCATTTTTGCAATTTTTTCGTTTAAAAACGTATCAGCCACATTATATGATTTTTATGAAGACAATATGGAGGCCGAAACATTGCCGAATAGAGCCCTAGATAGTAAAATGTAGAGTGCAAGAACAAAAGAAAAACCACAGAAAAGATGGGAGGATGAAATGACAGCTGACACGCAAAATTTGCTAAAAAGGCAATATTCGTTCTTATTTAGAAACATAACACTGATTTCAGCGTTTCTAAAACAATTCTTACCTTTGTCACAGAATAAGAAACATAATGCCCACTCTCCGATGCCGCCTTTAAAGTTTTTCAGCACGCGATCGCAATGTTTTAGACGGAAACACAGAACACAGACTCGGATTGAGAATCACATTTGGTGTAATTGGTCTTTATCGACATATATTTGTGAGGTTATGCAGATGTTTCTTGGCGGTTTTATTTAACACCAAACAAACATAAAAAATTTTTCTCAGCTTGGCGCCGTTTTTATTCCAACTCCAAGTTTACATAAATAATTTTAATCTAAAACTTTTTCATTTTAATTGTTTTAAAAATCTGTTCGTTAAAAAACCATATTTAATTATCGATGTTTTGTTTTAGCAGGAAATTATGGATTCATGTACATATTCATTTACTTTATCTAGTTCAACAAGCTATCTAACTCTAACAAGAAAAGAAAATATATTGCATGATATTTAGTAAACTTCAATCCAATACTCATTTGATAATTATATTTAAACTTTTTTAACAACCTACTATAATCTGTATTATATCCAGTATTTCTTACCTTGCTTTATCTGTGGGAAAATTGAAAAAAGACACATCGCAGCTATAGGCTTTATTATTGCAATTTTTTGCTGTACATCCATGTGTGAATTGCCCATCTTATACACAATTATTATATAAATTTTAAATTTATTTATTTATCATAGGACATTTGACACCTTTAATTTTATGATGACACATTTGACATCATTTAGCTTTAAATTTACATATAGTTTGTATAATTATA